CTCTCTTTCAGGTAAGGGTTCTCTCTGCAAGGCGTTGCTGTGAGTAACGGCAAGCGGCTAGCATGTCTGGCCTCGGAGAGCCCAACAGGTCTGGAAAGGTCCCGGGGGCTCCAGCCTCCCTGTGTAATCGGCTGGACCTGCCCCGAACAACTGCCAAGGCAGGGGATGGAGCCCCGGTTCTGAAGGTTCAGCTGCCTGGCTGCGTCTCCCTGATCAAAGGCAATAGCCTAAGCTTCGGTCTCCCCCAGATTCCGTGTACCACGGGAGCTGGTTTACCCCAGAGCCACGAGAGTCCCAAAAGCCTCCTGCTCCACTTCCCCTAGTACCAGTGCGCCCCCTGCTGCCGTAAACCCGCCGCTGGCCACCCTGCAAGGGCTCCCTTTCCCATATGGGGAGAAGAGTAGGTTTGGGGTCCTGGGCTAGTTACCCACCCTGCAGGATCTCACCCACTCAAGGTTTCAGCTGCCACCTGAGAAATCTCCAGCCCCTCACCCGGCTTCCCTGAGTCACATGCTTGAGGACCCTCTGCAGACCCTTACCTCTCTAAAGTAATGTGTTCTCCCTCAAAACTCTGCCCCGTTCTCCCTCAGACAACAGTACCATTATCTACTGAAGTTAGGTACTGTGAACCATCCTTTCAACAGATACCTGCTACACCCCAACCCCACCACATCACAGCCGCCTCTCCTGTTTATCTAATCTGTTCATTCTTGTCCCTACCATAGAACCACTGTTCATCGGCCTGGTCTCAGCTTCTCAGATCTAACCCTCACCCCATCCCAGTGACTTACGGGAAATAAAAATCTGATCTTGGTGAATCCTTCAGAAATACTATACTATTTGTGTTGCAAAATAAAGTTCAAGTTCCCCAAACTGACCCACCAATCTTTTCCTCCCTCTAGAAGCTGTCTGACCTGCCTGGTTCTAAATTCTCCAATCACATGGAATTACCTATGGCTCCTGCTCTACTGTTCTTCCAGTTCTGACCCTCAACATAGCCTGGTCTTGGACAGCACTTCTTCCAGGAAGCCCTTCCCTTGCCACTCTCCAGAATCCCTTTGCTGTCTTTGTCCATTGATGGCCTTGTTTTATAATTATCTATTCATCTGTATGTATCCCCATTTTCCCATTAACTATAAGTTCTTTGGGAGCAGGAATGTGTCTTACTTAACTTTATATAACCAGCCCTTAACTGAAGCAAGCACAAGGTGCGGAATAGGTAGAATGAAAATGTGACCAAGTAAAAAGGAAAGAAAAGTAGCAGGTGCTAGGACCCAAAATCCAAAGCTGGAGGATGATGGTAGTAACACTGATAATTACCCTTTATTGATAGTTAAACATTTACTAGATGCTTACAATCCTTTGTGTCACTTAATCCCCACAAACCACCCTGGGAGACAGGCATTATCCCCATTTTCCAGATGAAAAACCTGGGCTTTAAATGACTTTTCCAAAGTCACAAAACAAAAAGCACTGTAACTTGAAGCCAGTATCTGAACAACTCTTTTATTTTTTGTCAGTAGACCTAAGGTCCCAACAGCAGCCTTGTGGTCAGATCATAAAACAGCTGGCAATGTGACTCAGTGGTAGAGTGCTTGCCTAGCATGTATGAGGACATGGGATAATTCTCAGTACTGCAAAAAATAAAATAAAACCAATAAAGTGCAAGAAGAAAATATAGATGATTATTTCATTGATTTTAGCTGGGGGTGTGAGTCAAGTGGTTAGTAGAGTACCTGCCTAGCAAGCGCAAAGCCCCAGTACCAAAAAAAAAAAAAAAATTGTGGCCTGAGCCACAAATTAAGTGAAGATCTAATATCCTTGGAATATAAAAAGGCACTTACAAATCAATCAGAAAAGATGAATACCTCAAAAGAAAAGTGACTATAAGCCAGGTGCTGGTGACTCACAACTGTAATCCTAGCTACTAAGGAGGCAGAGATCAGGAGGATTGTGGCTGGAAGCCAGTCTGGGCAAATAGTTTGAGAGACCCTATTTTGAAAAAAACCCAACACAAAACAGAGCTGGCTGAGTGGCTCAAGTGGTAGAGTGCCTGCCTGTCTAGCCAGCATGAGGGCCCTGAGTTCAAATCCCAGTACTGCCAAAAAAAAAAAACCCCAAAAAAGAAGTGGCTATAACCAGATAACACATTTACCTGTTAAAGATCTAAAAAGAACCTTAATGCTAGAATAATCATAGAAATTAATTAGATGTGTGTATGTGTGTGTGTGTGGTATTGATGAGTTAAAATATGGAAGGGAAGCTTGTTGCATGGCTCAACTAGTAGAGCACCTGCCTAGCAACATGAGACCCTCGGTTGAAACCACAGCACCAGAAATATTTGGTGGTAGTGTTGCACACCTGTAATCTTAGCACTCAGGAGGCTGATGCAGGAGGACTTTGAATTTGAGGCCAGCCTAGGATACATAGGAGAACTTGTCTTCAAAAAAATTTTTAAAAATTTGTACAAGCATTGTAACTTTCAAAAGGTTTAATGTGTACTACTTTATTCTTTTTGTGCTAAAATAATGAGATGATTTTTTTAACCTGTAGATTGAGTGTGAGGAAATAGATACCTCCATAACTTGTGAGAATACAAAGCCATGTAACTTTTTGAGAGGACAATTTGGAATAAGAACAGAAGTGGCTAATATTGTTACCCTATACCTCAACAATACATTCCTCACTCCCAGGAATGTATGCTATCAAAAACTTATACAGGCCCAGTGCCTGTGGCTTGAGCCGGTAATTCTAGCTGCCCAGGAGGCAGAGATCAGGAGGATCACAGTTCAGAGCCAGTCTGGGCAAATAGTTTGTGAGACCCTATCTCAAAAAAACCCATCACACAAAAACAGGGCTGGTGGAGTGGTTCAAGGTGTAGGTCCTAACTTCAAGCCCCAGTTTAAAAAAAAAAACTTGCCCAAGGACAAAAAGAAATATGGACAAAGTTAGTTGTACACTGCATCATTATTTATTGCATCAAAGTAATTAGAAACAACTGTCCGTGGGCAGGGAATATGGCTTAAATAAACCTGGGTTATTTCTCATAATAGAATTTCATGTCATCATTTTTTATGAAAAGAGGAAGTTTATATTTACTGACATCTAAAAATATCAAGGCTATACTGCTAAATAAAAAAGTTTTGTAGAGCTATGGGTGTAACTCAGTGTAGAGCATGGGCTCAGCTTGTGTGAGGCTCGGGGTTCCATCCCCAGCACAAAAAAAAAAAAAAAGCGAGTTGCATAATAGTATGTTCAATATGATCTTTTTAAAATTGATTTTTAGGATATTTTTGTTATATGGGGGGATTCATAGTGACAATTCCAATTAGACATATTATACATTTGTTACATTGCCTCCATCGTCTCTCCTCCTCAACCTCCTCCCTGCCCCCTTAAAGCAATTAGAGTTTTCTTAGTTCTGTTTCATATAGGTATATGAAGTCCATCAACCATATACCATCTACTTAATCTCCTTCCTTCACCCTCCAACCTCCCACTCATACCCCCCCACTGTACCTATTTTACAGTCATTATATTCGTTATTAATATTTAAGTTGATGTTCAAAGGGGCGTCTCAGTGCATGCCCACTGTGGATGTGCTTTACTTTGATCTGTTCAACCCCTTCTGTTACTCTCCCTTACTCCTTTACCTCCCACCCTGATCTTTTGTTTTTAAAACCTATATTTACATGTGTATAAAAAAAATCTGAAAGGAAGGGCTTCAAGTGTTATTGAGGTCTCAGCACTGGGATAAAAGGGGAAGCCCCCCCACCCTTCTTTTCTGACTGTGTAGCACAATATGTGAGCCAAGAATTCAAACAAGACCAAAAGGCACTCAGAGAAAAGTCATGCTTCAGCTGGCCCCAGCTGTCACTGTTTCATTTTATATGTGTCTGTTTCATTTTATATGTGTTTGTAATGTTAGCATTCTTAATGTTTTTGGTGGTACTGTATTTTGAACTCAGGGCATTGTGTTTGCTAGGCAGGCACTGTACCACTTAAGCCATACCTCCAGCCTTTTTTGCTCTGGTTACACTTGTTTTTGCCCAGACTGGCCTGCACCACAATCCCTCTATTTATGCTTCCTGCCATATTTGGGATGACAGGCATGTACTATCTCGCTCAGCCATTGGTTGAGATAAGGTCTCTGAAACTTTTTACCCAAACTGACCTCAAACCTCGATCCTCCTGACCTCAGCCTCCCAAGTAGTTAGGATTATAGGTATGAGTCACTGGCACCCAGCTCTTTTTTTTTTTTTTTTTTTTTTGCAGTACTGGGGTTTTAAACTCAGGGCTTTGCATTTGCAAAAGCAGGCACTCTACAGCTTGAGCCACACCTCTAGTCCATTTGCTCTGGTTATTTATTTTGCAATACTGGAGTCTGAACTCACAGCCTATACCTTGAGCCACTCTGCCAGCCCTTTCTTGTGATGGGTTTATTTTTTTTTTTTTTGAGATGGGGTCTCGCAGAACTATTTGCCTGGGTTGGCTTCAAACTGCGATCCTCCTGATCTCTGCCTCCTGAAAAGCTAGGATTACAGGCGTGAGCCACTGGCGCCTGGCATGTACTTTGCTATTGAACAGGGAAGTCTTCCGATTCTTTTCCCCTTCACATCTGTAGCTCTCACTGTGTAGTCCATGCTGGTCTCAAACTTGTGGGCTCGAATGATCCTCCCACTTCAGCCTCCAGAATAGCTGGGACTAAAGGTACACCACTATGTCCAAGTAGCATTTCTACATTTTTAACAAAGAACCAAGTTGCCTTTCACCATTTTTCTTTAACAATTCAATCTAGTGAAAAAAACTAAAAAATGCTTACTGTAGAAAATTTCCAAATTCTAACAAAAGTTCAAGAGTGCTGGCAGAGTGACTCAAGCGATAAGAGCACCTGCCTAGCAGGTGTGAGACAGAGTTCAAACCCCAATGCTGCCAAAAAAAAAAAAAAAGAAGAAGAAGAAAATAAATATCACCCATAATCTCATTTCCCAGAGAAAAACACAATTGGATGCTTTTCCTTTGAATCTTTTTTATGCACATCCTTTTTAAAAACAATTCATAAAACAGTCACTAGACATACACAAAAAGGGAGAATTCCAAATGTGTATCCTGAGATTAAAAGAAATAAAGTTTTTAAAAAGAAAACAATGGAAGGGGAGTTGGTGGTGTAGCTCAGAAGTAGAGCGCTTGCTTAGCATCCTGAAGCCCCGGGTTCAATGCCCAGCACTAGAAAAAAAGAAAATGATAACTAAGAAAAGAATGGCACTGTACTGTTCCCTAATTTGTAACTTACTTTTTTTGTTTGTTCATTTTTGTCGGTTCTGGGGTTTGATCTCAGGGCCTGAGCTTGCTCTGGCACTTGAGCCACACCTCCAGCTCTGCAAGTTTTTACACACTCAGCCTAGCATGAGCATTCTCTCATGATTAAATGTTTTGCACGACATGATTTTTAGTGGCGGTATTGCAACAGATCATGGGAAATATTCGCTTAAACATTTAGGTTGTTTCCCATGTCAGGAAAATATTTTGCAAATGAAGGAAAGACACAGTTCTTTGGGGCAGGATCCAGGGCAGCAGACAAAAAGTCCCTGCAGACATCTCTTCCCTCCTCTTCCTGGCACCGTCCTGCAGGGTCTCTGCCCAGGCCTTCCAGACAGGCTCTGGGGGTACTGCCAGGGCCCGCAGCCAGCTGGCCTCTAACCCTAGCCTCTTCCAGAGCAGAGGCTCTGGTATGTCTTTTCTGGCCCCAGGATCATTTTCCAACACAAAGTACAATCTGGCCCATGGACAGTTCTGGTGCTCTCACCATCCCCTCTGCACCCCATCCATAGGTTTCCCCACAAATTCAAGGTCCTCAGTGCTGTGGCGGCCCGGACATGAGCACGACATTCTCATACAGGGGCTCTTCCTGCCCCTCCTCTTCAGCTTGCTTCTGGAGCTCCTGTTCTGGGGGACTGTTCCCAGAGATCTGCTCCTGGATCCTCCCTGTGCCCTCAATACCATCCCCCAGACCCCTGGACATTTCCCCTGGCCTAACTCCCATGACCTCCATGAACTTGTCATTGGAGGCTAAGCCAGGACTCAGATTGCCCTTGTTCTGACCCAGGGCTCGGAGTAAAGGCTTAGGGAAGGCACTCTTCCTGCCTGGTTCTGCCAGGCCTTTCTGGAAGTTACCAAAACGGTGGAAAACAGACCGGCCAGGACCCTCAGATTTCTGGGGCTTCCCTGCCAACATGTAGATTGTGGCTACAGCGCCAGGGTTCTCCTGGACACTGCCATTGATGATTTCCACACGCTCAGCTGCTTTCTGGCCACAAGGAGGGACTTGGTGGCAGCTAGCATCTCCAGGGTTGGCAGCAGTAGGAGACGCCCCCTCCATTTTTGCTTGCTCTGGGCCTGCGGAGTCCTCAGGCTCCTGGCCCTCATGCCGTGGCTGGGCCCCCTTGGAGAGCCTCTTGGGCTTTCGAATTGGACTGGAGAGCTCCCCTGAACTTCGACAGCTCTGTGGTGCAAACTTGGTGCCTTCAGCAAAGGAGACCGATGGCCGCTTGGCCCGTGCCAGGCTGGACGTGCGTGGGATAGGGAATGGTGTGGAGGCATCCTCAGGGGGAGAGAAGGAGCCTCCAGCCAGGCTGACCTCTGGTGACTCTGCTTGGGTCATGAGGACCATCCCTGGCAGAGGAGATAGAAGAGCATGGCTGCAGCTGGGCTGGCCACCTCAATGCAGCCTACCTGTAGCCCAGCATCTTCCTGCAAGTCTCAAAATGCGGCAAGGAAGGAGGAGGAGAAAAATCAACAACTATTACTCCTCTTTGCTCTTTTCTCTCCACCCCTCTGGCTTCGAGCCTTTGCCAAGCTGAAACTTGTAGTGCCACTCTGGGCCTCCCCTCTGGGCCTTGCAGATGCTGTTCCCTTCACTGAAAACACTGTTCCCATTGCCTCATTTTCCTTTGGCTAACTCCTACAGATTCTGCTAGACTCAATCCAACCATCACAAACACAGACATATTCCCTGAACCCAATTACCCTTCACATGACTAGATTATGAGTCCCTCCTTGTCTCCCCCTCCATCAAAGTATGTGTCACTCTGTCCTCTACTACCTGATGACTTATCTGATTACTGCCTACCATACTACAAGCGTGGCAAGGTCAGGGATCTGTGTTGTTCTTTACTGTGTCCCGAGAGTCTGGGAGACTTAGTGGCACAGAATAGGTGCCAGATACATGTTAGCTGAAGGAATACAGAAGAGTTTGTGGCAGGGCTGCTCAGAGAGAGACTGAGTGGACTTTTTGGGGAGCTACCTTCTTGGGGTGGCACGAAGTAGGTGTGACCCTCGTCCTCTGCTCCAGACTCAGGATCAGAAGAGAAGGAATCATCAGAGGCCCAGGCGGCAGAGGGCGGCTCAATGAAACTGTGGTTGAAGGGGACCTCCGGGTCATGGTGAGAGACTGTAGGGGCTCCAGGTCAGGTACACAGCCTCATGGGAAGGCCTGTACCATCCCAGCCCCTGACCCCTCGTGCCCACTTACCTGTCACCCAGGGAAGCCTGTAGTTGCTGAGAGAGCCACAGGACAGCGCAGAGCCCAGGCTGCTCAGTGCTCCCCAGACCTGCTGCTTCATCCTGGACAAGGCAGGGTCATCTCTTGTTGGCCTGAGCGGGTGGAGTAGAGAGGGTGGTCAGTGCAGAAGACTCAAGGTAATCCAGGTCACCCTAGCAGGGTGACAGGGTGACTACATCTACTTCATTGACTTTGGTTTTTTGTTTGGTTTGGTTTTCTGTTTTTTTGAGACAGGGTCTCAGGCTCTCCTTAAACTTGTGATCCTTCTGTCTCAGCCTCCTAAGTGCTAGGATTACAGGTATGCACCACCATACCCAGCTTAATGACTCCATATTGATGAAAGAAGAAAATCCAAAGTATTGAGCCCAAGATCTGAATTACAGAAGACAGTGTGTCTCTAGAGTCAGATAGACCTGGGTAACAACTTTGTTTCAGTCTTCTCCTCCTTGGGCCTCAGTGTCCTCATCTGTAAAATGGGGAAAACAGTTCTATCTATCAGAAATTTCTTCAGGACCCATACAATACCAGGAACCTGGCAGCAGTTTCCCAAGATGCAACTCTGTGATTGTCATCCTAGCTGAGCCCCAGGAAGCCTGCCCTTGTTCCCACTCTCCTCCACCCCCAAGCTGGAACTGATGACTCTATTTTGCCCTCTGACAGCCTTTGTACATGTCCTTATCTTCCTGTGAGGGGCTTCTTCCTCCTTCCGCCACAGGGCACAGGCAATAGGATTTGCTCATCTGTGAATGCCTGACTACACAGAGGAGGACACGCTGAACAAATAGCATGGAAACTACAAGAGCCCCGGACAAAGAGAACAGATAGATGACCCTAGCTGGGTCATCTGGGGCCTCAGTGTCCTCTGTGTATTGAGGACAAAAATCCTCCAGCACCCACATTTCCTGTCCTAAAACTCTGTGCTCTTGTGAGTCTCAAAGGAGCAAGGGGTACAAAGAGGTTTTGTAAAGAACAAAGCAATGTGAGCAGCATCCCCTGAGCAGCCCTACCAGCCCAATCTTCTTGGAAAGCCACATTCTCTGCCAGACCCCTGCACAGACATTTTTGCTTTTGTTTTTGAGGTACTGGTTTTTGGTTTGTTTTTTTTTTGGCCATACTGGGGTTTGAACTCCTTGGGCACTCCACCAGCTCTTTTTTGTGAAGGGTTTTTCGAGAGATAGGGTCTCTCAAACTATTTGTCTGAGTTGGCTTCAAACTGTGATCCTCCTGATCTCTGCCTCCTGAGTAGCTAGGATTACAAGTGTGAGCCACCAGTGCTCAGCTACAGGAAGGAATTTTTTTTTTTGGTGGTACTGGGGTTTGAACTCAGGGCCTCAGACTTGTTAGGCAGGCACTCTACCACTTAAGCCACCCCACCAACCCTGCACAGACTTTTCTGTGGGGCGAGTGAGGTCTGGTCTATTCCCCTGCTTGCCCAGAGTTGGGCCTCTGCTTCTGTGTTCCTCATCCTCCTCACAAGTCTCTGCCAAGCCTCCTGCTGCAGGTTTGCATTTGGACAACATGGTGCCTAGTGCCCCCTACTTATGCCCATGTCATTCAGATACTTCTGGTCAAAAGCTTCCAGGGAAGGCAGGTGGCTGACTTGGTATCTCCAGGCCTTGGCCACTGCCAACTACCTCTACTACCTCCAATTTAAGTATGTGCAAGACCAGCCCTTCTTCATTCCTGAAAAGAAACCAGATGGCACCAGCCAACGTTCACCTGTCCTTGGGGTCCAACCGAGTGGTCCAGCGGCAGTAGACACAGCAGGCGATGCCCAGGAGGAGCAGCAGCAGAGGCACAAGGATGCCTGCAATGAGGGCACTCTTGCCATGAGGGCCTGTGGGAGTGAGAGATGGTCAAATATTCAAGCCTTGGGGTCTAACACATATTACGTCTCTTTAGCTCTGAGTTGCCTCCTCCATGGCCCAGAATCTTTTACTGTAGGTGCCCCTTCCCCAGCTGGCTTCTCTGCTGGTCTGTCCCCTTCTGATGTCCAGGACTCATTCCGCAATCTTTTGTCCCAATTTTCATGCCATACCAGAGTCCAGCCCTGCCTACTCATTTCCTGACTCCACCTGGTTTCTCAGGGGCAGAGGCTCTGTCACATCCTCGGGGGGACCCAGAGCATCCGTACAGATTTCAGGCATGAAGTGGGCCAAGCCTCCCCAGCAAGTAGGGCTCCTGGGACCCACAGTTATCACAGTCTGAGTGCCCCCTGTACCTTACCAGTTGGCAAGACCAGAGACCGGGTGGCAGAGTCCCTCGGCACATCGGCAGGGCAGAGAACAATTGTTTCCATGGAAGCCAGGAGGGCAGGAACTGTTGCAGCTAGGGGTAACAAGGAAGAGCAGGCTGAGTGGGAGGAACCAGAGGTGGGCAGGGATCAGGGCAAGGTAGATTTCTGGGCACAGTCCTGGGCACCCCCTGCCAGGTAGAAGTCCCTGAATATCAGAGCAGATTCCTCTGATTTCTGAGTTACATTCTAAGTACCCCTGGCAGTGTTTGGGAGAACCCCTCAGCCCAGAAGCTGTCAGGCTATTTGCTGGCCAGTGTAGACCTATCCCTCTACCCACTCAGCACTAATGTGAAATAAGCAAGATGTAATGGATCCAGGAAGATTTTCTCAGTCTGGAGGTCTGAGCCAGCCCAGCCCTACCCCTAACTCTTGAGCCATGTTCCCCTTCTCTGTAAAGTGAGGTCTCTTCCACTTGACACTGCATGCTGTCCTCTGGATGGGAAACCCGACTTTCTGCCCTAAGAGCCAAGGATATGACAAAGGGGTCTGGAGCTTGCCCCTAAGTATAGTCCCCATGTAGTTAGTTTTTCTTCTTCATTTTTCCCTTTTAAGATTCTTTTTTTTTCCTGTTTAAAACTCCTATTTATTGATTTTTTTTAGTCCTTTTAGATTAGGAATTAGCTGATTGTCCTGAATGCAACCGCACAGTGGGAGTAACTTCTTAGTTATGAGGATGGTGGACAGGTGTCAGAGTTTGAGAGGTTCAGCAAGAGAAGTTAGGAGACCTTACACATAGGCTTTACCTCAGCCCCTGTACTCTCATCTCCCCACGGCCCAGTTCTCACCTGGTCCCCCAGTAGCCAGCATTGCAGACACACTCCCCTGTCACAGCATCACAAGTTCCCTGAAGACAGGTGGGGCAGGTAGAGCCGCAGCCCTCCCCAAAGGTGCCAGTTGGGCAGGGGTCTTCACACCTGGGGAAGGCTAGACTCAGGGACTGGGAAGACAGTGGGAGCCCTACAATCTTCCCCACATTGCTGGACTCAAGGACACAATGACACTCCTCCTAGTGCAGCTCAGAGGCAAACGGTCTGGAGCCAGGAGCCAAAGCTGATAGGTGACAGACAACATAGCCCTGAAGGTTTGAGAAGAGGGCAGGAAGCCTGGATGGTGGGAGAGCTAGAAGAGCATCTTGCACAGGATCCCCTTAAAACCCATCTTTCTCCATCAGTCTCTCCAGGAGGCAGCTGCAGAGTTGTGTGTGCGTGCGTGCGTGTGTGTGTGTGTGTGTGTGTGTGTGTTGGGAGAGGGTGGCTTTCCCAGAGGAAGCAGCAGAAGTAAAGATCCTAGGGGAAAGGGAGAAAGGGTATCCTCCCTGAGCAGGGTACCCCCTCACCTGGGCCCCAGCCAACCAGGGTCACAGCTCTGACAGTGCCCGGTTTCTGTCTGGCATGGCTCCCCAAGCCGGCAGCGGGGGCACTGCTGGCTGCAACTCTCGCCAAAGGTACCAGGTGAGCATCGCTGCTTGCACAGTGTTCCATTCCAGCCTGGCTTGCAGGACTCACAGCTGCCTGTGACTGGAGAGCACATTGTATTCGGCTTGCAATGGCCACAACTGGCAAAAGAAGGGATTCATGAGAACACTGGGGACAGATGGAGTGCCACCCCCTCCAACCTTCACGATGCCCACTCAGGACTTCAGGGGCACTGGAGAGCTTCCAGGTCCCAGTTGGTTCACTCAGGCAAGTACCAGTCTTAGTTTCTCTGTGTATAATGAAGAGGTTGGACAGATAATCTGAGGGCTCTGGCAGGGTTCCATCTCTCTTTGACCTCCTGCTCTGTGACTAATCCTTCCTTGGTCCCAGGGTCACCAGGACCTACCAGCTTAGCTCCAGGGCTTTGATGTTACCAACCCACCCTCCACTTTCCTCCTGCCCACCTCTCCCTTTTTCTCTGTTCTCCTTCCTACAGCATGGCATGCCTAAGGACAGATCAGTGGTTTATCTTCTACCCTGTAATGTGAACGTGCATAAAATAAGACCGCCTGTATTAGAAGTTACTTAGTAGCCTGAGGCAGAAGGATCACTTGAGTCCAGGAGTTTGAAGCCAGCCTGGGCAAAATAGCAAGACTCCAACTCTTAAAAAATACGTAAAATATAAACTCTGCTTTTACCATTATAATTTCAAGTTTACCTTAGTTCCCCATTGATGCTACCAGTAACTTGAAGTTTCTGTCTCCAGATAATTAATTATCTGGGGTCAGCTCCATTAGGGGGCTAAGGTAGGGGAGGAGTTTATGAAAATCAAGGCAGCTGATCCTGACCAGTGTTTAGAAAAAAACAAAAAACATTTCAGTGTATTAGTAAAGTGCATAGTAAAGGTTAACTGTGCTTTGTGGTTCAGCTTTTATTTCCGTTACATCAAATGTGTGTTACATGTGCATGTGTTAGGAGAGAGGTAATTTCTCATTGTAGAGCTGGTCAATGTTTGAAAGACACTAAGTCCTAAAGGAACCTTGACATTCTATTGTCCCAGGATTCTTTCTTTTTCTAAGTATGGCTTGCTAATACAAGTTTTTTATTTATTTGTTTGTTTGTTTATTTCCTGAGACAGGTTCTTGCTATGTAGCCTGGACTGACCTAGAACACACGATCCTCCTGCTCAGCCTCCCAAGTACTGGGATTACAGTCCTGCACTATCACACTGGGCTGTACTTATACTTTTTAACAGTAATTTGATGAAAGGAGTGGGCAGGGGTGGACCTAGGGGACATTGAAGGGTTTTTTCCTTCTTTCATACCTGCCTTGTACACGCTTTGGGGATAGCACTGGGATCCCACTCTTCTTGCTGCATACCCATCTCTGCCTGCCACTCCTCTACTTCTGCTTCACCTCTTCCCCTACCCAAATCCCCCTTTATTCTCCCCAGTGGCTAGCTCACCTTTCGCTGCACTGTGCCCCATAGCGGCCCGGATTGCAGGGCAGCTCACAGTGCACACCTTGGAAGCCAGGTGGGCAGGCGCACTGGCCAGAAGCGACATTGCAGTGGCCTCGTATGCACTCACACCGCCGCTTGCACTCAGGGCCCCACCAGCCCTCCAGGCATATGCAGCGACCGGAGTCCTGCACGCAAGGCGAGGTGTGGCAGGAGCAGCGGAAGCTGCAGCGGCGGCCCCACCAGCCTGAAGGGCACAGGCAGGCGCCCGTGTCTGGGTCACAGCTTGTTCCTGGCTTGCACTGGCATGAGCGGCGACACGTGGATGACCACCAGCCTGGGTCACAGAGACATGTGCCCTTAGCGGGTTCACAACGCCCGTGGGGGCCGCAGGTGCACAAGAACTCACAGAGAGGGCCCCAGCGGTCAGCTTGGCATTGGCACACACCGGTGGCTGGCTCGCACTGTCCATGCGGGTGACAGGGGCAGGTCTCACGGCAGTCAGGACCCCAGTACTGGCCGGGGCAGCCTGCGGGAGTGGAGGTAGAGGGACGGAAGCAGGCTCAGGGCCGGGTACTGATCCTCACTCTGCCCCTTCCTCAAGGAAGAGGGGTGTTGGGTCCACCCTCCAAGAGTCAGGGACAGTCCCTTGGAAAATCTGGCAGCCTGTCCTCCTGGGGCACAGCTCATTTCCTGCTCCAGACTCTGAATCACAAAAACCCTTAGCCTTGGCCCAGCCTTCCACTTCACATTCCAGAACACACTTAGAGATCCTGAGTGGGAAGGGGGTGTGCCCAGGGTCACAGAGAAGAGGATGGGATTTAATTCATGTCCCCTCTTCCCTCACTGATGAGCCTCCTCCTGCCCTTTGGAGGTGAACTGGCTGTTTGATACATATCTAGAACTCAGGTGGATGCTTCACACTGGTATATCTCCCCATGTCCTCTTCCAACCCAGGGATTCCTGTTGACTGCCCACTGGCTATGTGCCACCAACCCCTTCCCATCCCCCTTTTCCTGCCAGAGAGATCAAACAGTCCAGATCTGGACCTCCTTCCACCCTCCACCATGTATAAGGTATGTGGGAAGGGGGAGATTGAGAATGAATCCATTCTGAAGTTAGTTGGACTCACAGGCACCTTTACTGAGAAGTTGAAAAGGTAGGTGAAGATGCCCAGTGAGCAGGGTTTTGTGGGTCTGGGTGAAAACAGGTCACTCAGGGCATTTCCCAGGAGGGAACAGCTTCTAGTTTCTAAGCTTCAATTTCCTCAGTGAAGCTGGGGGTTCTGGCCCTGCTGTTTTAAGGTTACATTTCTACTTGCTCTGCCACCACTGCCCTGTGCTCAGTTCTGCCCAGCAACTTTGTCCCCAAGTTGACTCACGGGAGCTGCAGTGGGCCCCAAAGAATCCAGGTTTGCATCGACAGAGGCCTGGCTTCACACATACTTCATCTTTCCGGCAGGTGTCCAGTCCCTCACAGATGGCTGAAAAACACCCAATTCAGGTTGGAATAACTAGGGCACCCATGACCAGGAGACACCTCTGCCCCCTCACCCACCCCTGGGTCTTTGCTCCCTCAAAAACCACCCTTTTGCCAGGAGCCAGTGGCTCACACCTGTAATCTTAGCTACTTGAGAGGCTAGTCGCCAGCCTGGGCAAATAGTTTGTGAGACCTCATCTCCAAAATAACCAGATCGAAATGGACTGGAGGTGTGGTAGAGTACCTGAGTTCAAAACCCAGTCCCACAAAAACAAACCAAACAACAATAAAACAACCACCCTGTTAGGGCTGAGGATGTGTGTCATAGTATGAACCCTGGTTCTAGGGTTCAAGAAGGGAAAAGAGGGAATAGGGTAGGAAGGAAGGGTCTTCACTGGGCTCTGTTCTCACTTCTCCTTGGCTGGGGGTCCGTCGTGACTACTCACGGATGGTGCATTCTTGATCTTTCTGCCTCCAGCCTGGGCAGCACTGGAGCTCATCAGAGGGGCTGTTGGGCGTAGAAAGGGGTAGATCATGTTCCCAGTCCTGCCATTCTCTGGCCTTCCCATCATCTGCACTAACTATCCACTACCTGCCAGGCTGCCCCTCAAATCCCTCCCTTCAGGCCCATGATCTCTTCCCAAATGCCGCAACACTAATTCAACCATCATCCGCATCAGACTCCCACAGGACCCACCTGCTGCTGGTGCAGACATGCTGCCCATTGGGGTTCAGCATGGATCCCTCGGTCCCCCGAGTCCAGAACAGCAGAACTGGGAGCAGCAGCCCCAGCCCCATGGCGTCCAGTGCAGTGGGAGGGCCTGGGTTCATCAGCCCCCACAGCTCCCAACCCCCTCCCTGCTTCCTCCCAAGGCTCTTCCTGAGGAAACCAGAGGGGCGGGCTGCCATGAGGCACCTCCCTGAAAGGGTGGGCGGGAAGCACTAGGAAGGTCAGAGACACAAAAATGAAAGGGAAAGGAAGGCTGACAGTGAAGTCTGAGTGAGTTTATGGGGCTTACAATGAAGTCACAGGTCCCCAGATACTGGCCACAGGCGAAGGGGTGAGTTGAGTGTGAGAACCATGGCTTTCCATTAGGCCACATTCTCAAAGCAAGGGGCCAGAGCCAGGAGAAGCTACCCCACTGGGTGAGCAGTCAAGGAAACCTTGTGAGGAAAGCTCAGGCTGCCTCTGCAGGCTGGAAGGTGGCACAGACCACTGACAGACACACAGACATGGAGCAGTTTCTGGGAATTATGGACAGTTACTTTATTACATTAGCTCAGGCCATGTGCACAAAGCCCTGGAAGGTAGGCAGTCAGTCCTCTGTTTCACAGATGGTGAAACTGGAAGTCAGAGACAAAGCACCTGTACATCTGGCCCTCAAGTATGGTGCAGACATGTCAGAGGAAGGGGAGGCTGGCTGACATTCCCATCCTGCCAGACTGGAGAAGAGCCCTGGGGAGGGCTATGAAGGGGGGAGCCTTGTCTTCATTTGAGGTCACACATTCACCCCAAAGTCAGATCCCAAAAGTCAGGCCTCTGGGGCAGCGGAGGCCCTCAGATCAACATGTTCATCATGAGCAGAGAGAAGGCCCAGTCAGGAGGTGGAGGCTGGAGAGCTGCCCACAGATTCCAGTGAAGGCTCTTGGGAGGCTTCCTCTTCTCTTCCCAGCTGGCTGGAGGCAGTGCTGCTGGTCTTAGCTTCAGGGGCCTCTGTTTCACCCTGATACCACAAGCCAAAGCTGGAGGAGGGAAAGCTAAGAGGTACTTCGAGCCAGGAAGCCATAGAAGTCAAGGAGATGGGCTGAGGGCAGGCAGTGTCGAGAAACAGGATACAGAGGAAAGAAAGGGCGGCATGAGGTCATAGGGAGCTGAAGGGACTCAGGGAAAAGAAGCGGAATCCATGTCAGAGCTCCCACCTGCTTCATGCAAAGAAGCCTGTTAGAGTCCAGGACAGCAAGCTGAGAGGCAGTAGAGCGAGAAAGGAGACAGAGAGAAGGCAGGACCCCCCCTCACCCCCTCCTGCCCTTCCCCCACCCCCAACATACGAACTCTGTATTCTGGACTCAGGGGCTGGGGGTTCATCTCCCTTATTGTTGGAGAGCAGAGGCCATGAGCCATCCTCATCACTGAGACAGAGAGAGAAGAGGTGTGAGGCCCATGTATCAAGGCTCTGCGGGACAACAGGAGTCCAAATCATCTTGAGCCTTCTGCACCACCCTCAGGAGCATCAGGGAGGACAGTGTGACTGCCTTGTCCCCAGGGATGAAGAAAAGGAAATACTGGGGAGATCCAGCACATCTTGAGGCTTTCACTTCATAGCATGGAAGATAACAGGCTCCTGACAAGGCTGCAGCCACAGCCTCATTCCACTAACAGACCCAACCAAGGCAGGAGACTGAAAACTGAATGTGGATAAGTGGTGTTAGCAGATTTCTTTAGCAGGATGTGCAGCTGGCAGGGTAGTGGAATTCAGAGAGAAGAGTGGCAGGCTGGATGATGGGCTTAGGGATAACCTAGCCAGGGTAGCAAGTCCAAGAAGTGACTAGACTAAGTGGGCTCAAGGGGTGGCCAGGCTAGGTGGGCAGACACAGGAGGTGGCTAGGCTTTAACAGAACTGGGAGGGAAGGAGGGCTAGCTCAATGGCATGGAGAGCTTACCTGCTGTCTGCTTCCTCTGGTGTTCCTAACATCTTGGCCTTGATCTTCTTCCGCTGTTTCCTGACAGCCACCTTCATGGCTTCAATCAGAAGCCCAGGGACCCTGTGGTCTGTGAGCAGCTCCCTGCAGTAGAGGGGCAGGAGCAGGAAGAAGACAGTGGGGATACCAGCCATAGGTCTCACTCAAGTACCTGTGCTCCTTGTTCCTCCTCGAAACACCTGAATGCACTGCACTGCTAACATCTCTGACCTTTCCTTAGGTGGCCCCCTTCCTACTAACACTTCCTGCTTGCTGCTACTGTGACCCTTTGGGCCGCTCCCTCCAGTTTGGACCAAGTTCCAGGAGGGGAGGGGCTATGGAATTCATGTCCTCCCAGGTGCCCAGGCAGGGTATAGCAAATGTCACTGCTGATACATCAGTAAGCCAAAGAGTAAGGTGGGATGACCTGAGAACCAGAACCAGGCGTGAGCGGAGGCCTCCTGGCTTCCCAGTCTCTCACCGCTCGAAGTAGGCCAACTCTTCCTTAAGCAGAAACACGTTGGCCTTGAGCTCATTCCGCTCCTGAAGGATCTGTTCAACTTCCTCTCGGCTGAAGCTGCCCTGCCCTGCCTGCAGGGGGCTCCCTGGCTGCTGTGGGGCATCCATCTGTGGAAGGTCAGGCATGGTCAGAGGGTTGCCTGTGCTAAACTCCAGCGCCATCACGGGAACGCTAGGGGGAGTGTCTAAGAAGAAAGCGGCCGGGGCTGGGGGTGGACACGGACGGACAAAGGGACTACAGTGGATGGACAGTAGATGACAGAGCACCGCTCTAAGTGCTTTCCAGAGGACCCGCTATACAGCACGGCACATCCTGTCCAGTGCCCACCGAGTGCCAACGCTGTGAATTCAGGGATGGGTCCCTGCTCTCGTCTAGTACTCACTGGGTCCTCCGGGGTCGTCCGTTCGGGCTCCTGCCTCTGCTCTTCAGCCGACTGGAGGGCGCCTTCCCGCGGTAGCTCGCGTTCCCTCTCGCGGTCCTGCGCCACCCGCAGCTGGGCCTGCACTACGGCCAACTTGTGCCGTAGCTCGGCATTCACCAGTAGAAGGCGCTGCAGCTGCTCCTGCAACTGGGGGCGGGGCGAGAGGAGAGCTGTGGGCGGAGCGCCGAGGCCCCCGGAAGCCCTGTCCAGCGCCCGCCGCCCACTGCCCTCACTGACCGCCTCTGTCTCCTGGCTGCGCTGCAGCAAGTCGCGACTGTGCGCCCGGAGCTCGTCCCGCTGTCGGTCAGTCACCTCCTTGAGCTGCCGCAGCAGCGCGCGCTCCTCTGAGGAAGGGGTGATCTTAGCATTGGTCCCCGGGTTACTGGGGGCCCTCAGCCCGCCCTGGTCCTGGCGGGGCCTGCACTCACCCCGAGGCCCCGAGCGCAGCTCCCTGCGAAGGTGTTCGTTCTCCTCCCTCAGCCGCCGCAGCTCCAGTTCGGCCTGCAGCGCCGACACCTGCAGCTGGGGAGACTCAGGGTTAGGGCCTGTCGGTCCCACGGGGCGTGAGCGGAGGGGGCAGTGACTCACCGAGTCCGGGGCGGGCCCTACGGCGGCCTTTTCCAGGAGCTCCAGCGCCCGCACCACGAGCGGCACCAGCCCGACCGCCGCCTCCGTCCCGAAACGGCGGGTCAGCTCTTGCAGCTCAGTGCCCAGCGCCCCCGCTAGATGGTACACGAGCTCCGCGTCCGTCCCCGACCCCGCGGCCACTCGAGGTCCCCAGCCGGGTGGCCCAGGAGCCGCTCTTCTGGGCTCCATTTTTGCCCCCTTGATAACCTAAGGCACCCTCACCAGGAATTGTGGCAGGCCAAACAGTTCCGGCCCAGGAAGTTTAGGGCCCTAAGGGGAGGAGTAGAAGTGACAGGGAGAAGCGATTACGGGAAAAGGTCCTGGAAAGGGGGACAATACCCTAGGCCCCCTAGGCTCTGTCCCTTTCAACCCCAAGGTCACAAGGAAAGGGACAGTCAATTTCCAGGCAGGCACCCAAGAGCTGAGGCCCAGGGCTGTAAGTGGCCACTTTAGGCAAGCCCTCAATCCAGGCTCCACCCCCGTGTCTGGAGTTAAGGGCTGGACTTGGCTGCCAAGCTCTCCAAGCAAGAGGTGAGAGATTCAAGGCCAATGAGCAGTCTGCTGGGCGGTCTTTACAGAGCCAGGGTCTCATGTGCTTGCCCCCCACCCCCAGGAATGACACAAAAAGCTTTTTAAAAAGGGGATAGGCTGGCAGCATGGTGGTACATATCTGCAATGCAATCCCAGCACTCATGAGCCTGCGGCAGGATTTCAAGCCCAAGGCCAGGTTGGGCTAAAGAGGCCCTGTCTCAAAAAAACAAAACCAAAAACCCCAAAGAAACAAAACTGCTGGGTGCTGGTGTAATCCTAGCTACTCAGGAGGCAGAGATCAGGAGGATCTCAGTTCAAAGCCAGCCCCGGCAAATAGTACCTGAGACCCTATCTAGGAAATACCCATCACAAAAAAGGGCTGTCAGAGTGGCTCAAGGTGAAGGCCCTGAGTTCAAACCCCAGTACCGCACAAAAAAACAAAAAAAACCCTAAAGGGTGGGAGGAGCACTAGGCTGGGCAATACAGCCAGAGCTCCTAGACACATTACTCCTTAACTGATGTTGACAGTGGGTGGAGATTTGCAACTATTTTGCAACAAACCAGCAAATGTGTGAAGGCAAAAGAGTGAGTATGAAAGCCAAACCTACCTCAGTTCCCTGGGTCCAGGGGATATCAAGCCCTATTTAACCAAGGGGTCTTATACCCTCTTTCAGGCTGACCCCAGCACACTGCTGAACAACTGCTCCAGGCCAGCCCCCTGCCTTATCTACACCCAGAATTTGAACTCGGGGAAAAAAAAAAAACAACCCTCAACCATTCTATTTATACAAAATTTATTATATTTTGTTCAGGATTACAAGGTATTAACAACACAAGCACAAAACAGAGGGAAAAGGGGCCAAGCTGCTGAATGTCACCAGCTTGTTTATGGGATGGGGCTAAGAGGCTCCTTTGGGGAGTCTGAAGAAGGAATTGGTAAGAAACAACTAAGCATAGAGGTCCTCCCGATCTGCAGAGTAGACCTCACCCTCCTGCAGGAGTGCAAAATTGAGGAAGTGGGAAGGTCTGTGCACCTCATGGTAGAACTCTTTGGGGTTTGCCAGCTGCAGCTCATACTTCATGTTGGGATCATGCCGGACACCTTAGGGGAGAGGAAAACATCCAATGTTAACAAAGGTCTACTTGCCTCACCCAGCCTGAGCCTCTGAGCCATTTCCAAGGTAGAGTCAGGACCCAAGTGCTAAAGGTGATGGCCTCACTTTATCTCTTACCCCCCATCCACACTTGCTGTGCTGCCCTCACACACAAACACGCAGTCCACTTACCCATAAAGTTGTAGTTCCACGAGGACTGGGCAGGGACCATAAAGAAGCCAAGGAAGCGGTCAGATAGCAGCATCTGGACCCTCTCATAGTGTGAGGGTAGGTAACCTTTGGGGTTGTTGCCTTTGTCTGTGTTCTGGCGGCCCCATTCATAGCCACTAGGGGTCAACTTGTAGGCTGTCAGTGTGCAGGAGCCTGGTGTAAAGCTAGGGAAGGGATGAAGACAAGGTGAGAATTCAGGCCATTCCGGCCCTGGCCTACGCTGCTTGCCACCATACTTCTTCCCAAGGGAGTCCAAACCCACCTGCAGGTGATGATAATGGTCTTCTCACCATCCCAAGATGGATTATCAGCCATAATCTTGGCATGGGTGGTGACATCCTGGGGTGATAGCTGGGGAGATTCATTGGGCTGAGTGTGGATCCAACCTAAGGGTTCCATTTCCTATAGGCAAGGAGTAAAGAGCTGTTCAACTCATCTGCAGACAGAAATCTTTCGTAACAGTAACATGTCTGCTTTCTTGCTACCGATGGTAGGAGGTAAGACCTCAAGTTCTGACACTTCCAAGCTCCATCACTACTACTCACCTTGAGGTACTCATGCTGTGGCAGCTGGCTAGGCAGGTGCACAGTCTGGTGAGTCCCCCACTGTGGCACCATCACGATACAGCGGATCTCCTTCACCTGGGGGTTATCTGGCGGGCTCACGCCATACAGGTATCCTGCAATCTAGAGATGAGGGGGTCAAGAAACATAACTATTCTTAGTACTAACCCAGAGTCTGGAGTATCAGCTTCCGTTTCCTTCCCACACCCAAGAATGAGGTTTCTCAAAATACAGTCAGCAACCCCTGAACCAAAACCACCTGGGTGCTTGTTCAAAATCTTACACATGGACCTCATCTCAGACTGCTCCCATCAGAATCTCCTGAGTGGGGTCCACAAGCTCCCCAGTTGATAATTATCTAGCTATAAACAAATGAGCACACAAGTATACATATAAGCTTAATGAATTCTGACAGACTGAATACCCTATCTTGCTTGTTTTTTGGTGGTACTTGGGTTTGAACTCAGGGCTTTGCGCCTGCTAGGCACTCCATCAGCCCTGAATATCGTAACTGAAAAACTAGCATTATGTGGTATTTTAATTGAAAAAAAAATTTTTTTTTGCAGTGTGGGCATCAAACCCAAGCCTCATGAATGCTATGCAAGCATTCTACCACCAAGCCATACCCCCAGAATGGTATTTTAAGTTTTACATTGCTATCAACAAAGAAACTATTTGCTATAAAGTCATTCACACAGGATATTAGCAATCTTCAAATATGCCAATCTGATAGCCACAAAATGGGGTTGCTTTTTTTTTTTTTTTGGTATCACTGGGGCTTGAACTCAGGGCCTCATGCTTGTTACAAAGGCACTCTACCACTTGAGCCAATCTGCCAGCAGTGTTTTTTAACTAGTAATATGTGATTACTAGTAAAGCTGAACATCTTTTCATATTTGCCACTTGCAATTTCTTTACCTTTTATCTCTGTTTTTTTTGGTGCTGGGGATTGAACCTCAGGCCTCATGCATGATAAAAAAAAAACACATGTTCTACCACTGAGCTATATCCCTAGATTCCTAAACTACCTTTTCTTATTCTTTGCTCCTTCATCTACAGTTATCTTTTAAAAATCAAATTCTGCCAGGAGTGGGGGTGGGGGTTTGGGGGTTGTGTAGCATAAGCCTGTAGAGTCCCAGTACTCAGAGGCTGAGGCAGGAGGATTATTGGAGTCCAGCCTGGGCCAAAAATCAACCTCTGAGAATTTTCTCTTTTACACATTAATCCATTATTTATTAGAGCAATGAAAATACTTCCTTCTTATTTTCAGTTTTAGTTTGTCTTCTGCAGCATTCTTTGTTATAAATTTATTTATCTATTTATCAATTTATTTATGGCAGTAGTGGAGTTTAAACCCAGGTATTATGCTTGCAAGGCAGGCACTCTACCACTTGAGCCATTCCTCCAGCTGTTTTGTGTTGGGTATTGTCAAGAGAGGGTCCCTTGAACTATTTGCCTGGGCTGACTTCAAAACTGGATCTTCCTGATCTCTGCCTCTTCAGTAGCGAGGATTACAGGAGTAAGTCACCAGAGCCCAGCCAATTATTTAATTTTGATCATGGTTTTGTGTTTAGACATGTTTCAGGAAATTTTCTTCTAGTATCCTACCAGTTTCGTATTTTACATTCATATTTTTATTTGACTTTTTTTTATTAATTAATTAACGCTTCAAAGGATTTACTTTGGCTCATGGTTTCAGATGTTTCAGTTTAGACAGGGAGGACATAGCACAGCAGAGGAGCTCATATATGACATCCAGAAACAACAGAGAAAGAGAGAGAAGGGGATAGAGAGATAACCTAGATTTTATTTTTGTAAGTGGTAAGAAGCAGGGACCATCAAGTATATTTAACCTCACAATTTTGACATAGCACATTATGTAAATATAAATGTATTTCTGGCTGTATGCTATTCTCTCCCAATAAATTCTAAGCCAATAATACATTCTCTTAATTGTCACTGCCTCATAAATGATTTCCTGTCTCATGGGAACCAAAACCCTCCTTACTGTTTTGGCTGTTTTTTTTTTTTTTTATAATTACTCATCCATGAATCTTGAAACCAGCACCTCAGATGGGTTTTGGATCACATAATATATGGGCAACACACTATGGCCAGTCGAGCACACTTACTCACTTGGGCACGAAGGTCAGATATACAGATGAACTTCTTAAGCACATTCTTTGGAAGGATATAGGTATAACCAGTCTCTTTGATGTCATCAGATGAAACATAAATGTGATTGGTCCGTAAATGCAGGTTGGCAGCAGAGATGGCCCTAGAGAACAGGTAAGGAATGTCAACACCTTTCAGTCCAAATACCTCCAGTGGTGTCAACAAGCTTGCTATCTCTACCCTCTTGCTCTTCACAGTACCTGACCCTCCATTCAGTCTTAGATGAGAAAGTCTGGGTTTCATAGTTGCTGGTGGTGGAAGTGATGATCTCATCACCATGCTTGTTGACAGTGCGAGTCTGTGTTGCAGTCAGTTGTGACTGTTCCTTGGTCTGCTTCTCAATCTCGGCTATCTGCTGCCGCTGCTGTGATGGTGCTGAGATCTCCATACCCAGGATAATGTCTCTAATTTCTGACTGTGTCAGCGATGCCACATTCACACTGTGGGAACAATGTGAGTTATACAAGATCCCTCCCCTTAGTCCCATTTACCTTAATGGCAAGGGTATAACTTTGTGGACAGGGCAGCCCATATTTTTCACCCAAATAATCTTCAAGTGATACTTCTAAGATTCATCCCATCCCAAGCGGCAAGGCACTCTGTGTACCTTTTAGTTATTCGGCACCCAAACTCCCACTTTTCCTTCACAAACAGTACTCTGGCACAGCACAGTTCTCGGAAATGGAAATCCCAAGCCAGGCAAGATGGTGTACAACAATAATTCCAGCACTTGGGAGGCTGAGGCAGGACTGTGTTTGAGGCCAGTGTGGGTTACACAGTGAGACCCTGTCTCAAAACACAAACTGGGCCAGGGGCATGGCAAGTGATAGAGCACATGGCTAGCAAGGCTGAGTTCAAATCCTAGTACTGAAAAAAAAAAAGAAAAGGAAACCTCAAATCCTGTAACACACTTGTTCTTGGTTTGATGTGGTGTTAGTCACCTTTAGCAAGTACTTGGGAGATTTATGGATACTTTTTATTGCCACAAGGGCAGGGAGGAAGAGGATAAAAGGAAAGTGCTCACAGCAGTGGTACTTGGGGTCTTAGACATTTAAGCTTCCTATAATACGAAATGCCCTGCTAAGAGGTGCTGGTGGCTTACACTTGTAATCCTAGCTACTTGGGAGGTTGAGATCAGGAGAATTGAGGTTCAAGGCCATTCAAGGCCAGCTTGGGCAAACAGTTCGTGAGACCATTTCCAAAATAACCAGAGTAAAATG